TTTTTTTTTCTTTCAGGTAATTGTTTCTAACACATTTATAAGATGATTTCTTTGTTGCTTTGTATGTCCTTCCCCCACGGTATAACCCCTGCTTTCACTGTGTTTGAGGTTAGTGTAATTTGTGGAGGGGAAGGGAAAAAAAAACAAATCGTTTAAATAGGGATACAGGTGGATCCATTGCAACAATGAGATGTACAAGTCGTTATGGGGAAAAAAGAACTTTACAACTTTGGTGGGGGGGGTTGGGGGAGGAGGGGAGGATGGGAAGGGATGGGAAGGGGAAACAAAGGAGGCTACAATGCTTGATAAGAAGTGTACTCATTATCTTGCCCTGTAATTGTAACCCCTCTACAGTATTTTCACAATAAAATTTCCCAAAATCTTGGAAATAAATGTACCTCTAAGAATAAGAGACATTTAGAATCCCAAACAAACACGACCAGAAACGATCTGCTTTATAGCACATAGTAATAAAAAAGAGGCAAGACTAAAGAACCAAGAAATACTGTTGATCTGTAAGAGAAAAGATGCCGACTTCCTCCCATAAACCTCTCAGCAGAAGTGCTAAAAGCCAGGAAAGCATGGAATATTTTTATTTCTCCTCAAAAAGAAAATACCACCACCTAGAAAGGGAGGGACAGAGGGTGAACAAATGCAGCAGCAGGACTCACTAGACACAGACACTGTGCCGAGAACCATCTATACGACTTGTGGGCAGACGTGGGAGAGAATGAGAGAAGGGGTGACGCTGTCCAACACGAGATGTACCAACTTATGTGACCACTCCCTCTGGAGTCACCTTTATTACAGTGACAACGATAGACAAAGAAAAAGAAAACAAACTAAAATGACCATATCCAGTAAGGTAACTGAAAACCAATGGAGAAATAAAGACCTTCCGAGATAAGTGTAAGCTAAGACAGCGCATGACCACGGCGCAGGAGCGTTGCGCACTTCCCAGCAGGCAGCAGGCCCGCCCGGCCGGCCGGGCCCACGACCGTCCCCACCCTGCTCCCAGTGTGTGTGAGGAAGGAAGACTCACCGCACAGAACCTGCTCAGTGCTTTTCGTGATCTCTTAAGTTTCCTTCTGGCTAAATAGTCCTAACTAGAGTCATTTTCACAAGAAACTTATTTTATGATTCGAGGGATGTCCATTCACAGATGACTAACTGTGGGCTCACGGACATTTCCTCTCAGGCCTCATCTCCCTGACACACGAGGAGGGGCAGGAACGGGCCGGCACCCAGGGGTGGGGTCCAGACGCCACTGCTCGGACATCTGCAGCACAGACTTTCAAGAAATCCTTACTCCTGAAAATCCTATATGCAGGTTTATTGTTCAGATTTAAGAACATCAATAATGAGTCCAAAATTGCTTAAAACCGCCCATTTATTATTTTCTGTAATATATGTGACTGTAAAAAATTAAATACAATTTTTGCTGGGAAACTTTCAATACAGGTTTTTAAATTTCTTTTATATGAGCATCATAGTCGGCAATATGGCTTATACTTCTGCACATCTGCCTGTGTGTCAGGAGTTGTGAAAATAGCATTTTTTCAGCAAGAAATGTGAAAAGGCGAGAGAAGCCATGTTTATGAACCAGAGGGAAAGGCCTCTTCAAGAAGAGGCCCGTTGTTCAGAGCCTCCCCTGCCTTGCTGAGCGGGAAGCAGGTCCCGGCAGGAGGTGGGGAAACTAACGCTGATTTGAAGCAGCATTTTGGTTTTAACACAATAAACACATTTTTCAAATCTAAATTTGGGCCTTGTGTAGCTTATAAGCTTCAGAAAGAACTTCCAGAATTAAAAAAAATAGCTCTAAAAGTAATTTTTAAACATAAATTAGCAAAACCGTTTCAAAACTTTTCATATGAAGAAAAATTTCCCCCCGGTTAAGGAGATTTCAAATGAAGAATAAGGAAAAAATGCCAAACTCTCATTTGTTTTCTTCATGAAGCATAAGGAAGAGCATGCTAGCAACAACATCAAATCTATTCTTCATCATTTAAAACATTTCATCACAAAAAGTCTGGAAGATGCAGATAAATACGTGGGCCTTGTTCTATTACTAAAGTGCTTACCAAAAATGTGGACATCCAATCTTTCTAAAGGTTAGATTTTTAAAAACTGAAGTCTGAATATTCAAGCAAAATGACATTTTGGAGCAGAAAACAGATAGCATTTCTTTTAAAGGTCCTTAAAGGGTTCTAACACATCATTTTAAATATCAGTTCTTTGTATTGTCTATGTGCAATAAAGCTACTATCCAAATTCATTATAGTTGACTAAAATACCTGGCCATAATTTTCCTTACAACTCATTTCCTTGTAGTAAGTGAAATGCTTATTAATTTTGGGATCATGTTTCAGTTAATACAGAATTTTCCACATTCAAATGTAGCAGGATATTTAAAATAGGAATTCTTCCATTAATGTGTGCTATTACAGCATACACTCAACCCAAAGCCATAGCTCCTGAGACCTGGGATACATCAATAGCTGTTGGCAAATTTTAAAAAGAAAAAGAAGCCATAGAACACTTCCATTTTTAAAGCAAAAATATCAGCGAATTAATTATCCTATCCTAGATAAGTTATATTTTAATTAGGCTAGAATTCTCATCTTCACTACACACTCCTGGAATAAAGACCAAGCTGCCACTGCAAGGGCATTGTTCCTTCTCCCCACGCGCAGCCACGGTGCTGCCGCTCCCACGCCGAGGCCGACTTCCTTGTGAGAGGCAGGGAGAGAGAGTGAAGAATTTCACAGCTAGCAATTTGGTGGCTAAACACATCCTCTATTCTAGTCTCACAGCTTTTCAGCTAGAAATCGAAATCCTACTATACGCAGGATAATGTTCAGGACAATTCTCTACACTTTACCTTCTTAAAATCAAAGACTCAATTCTAAAGGGTTAATAGAGGAATTACAAAGTAACTTTCTAGTTTGCATTTCCCATAATGCTAACATAAAGCTTTATCTTTCCGTCTAGAACTGTGCTTTTCTAGCCCATGAAGAGCTCTATGAATCTGTTCAGCGTATTTATCTCTTTTCATCTATTCAGCGCCACCAGGCACGGCAGGTTCTGCAGGGCACCACATGACTCACTGTACCCTAATGCACCCCATTAATCCTGTTTGGACAGCTGGGTCCAGGCATTTGTTAGCTGCATTTTAATTGTTCCATCTTTCTTCTTTTCTTCTTCCTCTTTTTATTTATCTCTATGGCAAGCTACTCAGGAATTTAGTTTGTCAGTCTTCAAAAAGTACATTTTGCCATTAATTTGTTTTCTTTGTATTAAATCTATGCTCAGCATGTAATTTTCCCCATAAAATCAGTGTATATTAGTGATGAGCAATCAGTCTTCAACAACAAAGCACAGTCAGTTAACGGTCAGTGCTGGCGTGATGGAGGAGCTACCATATCACTGAATTATCTGAAAGGTAACATTTAGCTTCATGCCAAGTTATTAACATGCCTGTTTGTGTCATTTTCAAGATTAGCATACAATAAGTAGATGTTAAAACAGTAACAAGTCCTCTAAAGCAAACAAAAAAGAAATAAGACCAACAAACAAATGGGTTTTGCATCAGCCTGGGGAAGAGTGGTCTCTTTTTCTATTGCACTTTAATTCCACTTTCTATTCACACATTAACTTCTCTATGGAATTGTGAAGCTGAGTATAAAGCCCATGGCAGGACCAGCTCCACGGCCATACCATCACAAGCAAGGTGCTGGGGTTTACAGATGGAACTTTTATCATCACTTTTCTAATCACTGATTATTTAAAATCTAAGTCAATAGACAGAGAACTGCTTAGTGGAAATGGTTATTTGAAGTAAGGCTCTGACAATAACTAAATATACAGACAAGGACAGCACTTTGTACTGATAAAGAACCCACGTGAAGATCTCCTCGGTTACTTCAGTGGAAACCTGTTTTGCTTTCAATAGATGCCCACAGGCCTCCACGCACTGGAGGTGAAGGCTGGCGGACACCACAGAAGCACGGCTGTCCGGGTCGGCTGTGTCCTAAGGGCTACGCCACACAACGTGCAACTCTTCTCCAGGACACAGAGCAGCTCGAATGAGCTTACGAATTCTGGCATTTTAAAGCACACACGAAACTACACACTCAAAAGGGTGTTTCATATAAGAAAGACTACCATTTCTAGACGGTTGTTGTGAAGTCAGTTTCCTCACTAGAAGATTCAAAAGCCTGACCTGTGAATGTGCCGGGGAAGTGGTCTATTGTTGGAAGGAATGTGTTAAGTGTGAAGAATCAATGGTCTTTATGTGATAAAAGTACTTGTCTGGGAAGGCCCCATACATAACTGAAGTACCGAACGGAATGTATAAAATGATGTGGGGTAAAGCACACATTTTAAAGAGGTTTAAAAAGTACAGTAGAAGAGTTAGCAAGCATATATTTAAAGGCGAGCATTTTAAATGAACAGTTTGCAGACTTACCCAGTGTTCTGGACATCACCGGCAAAGCAGAGCTCAAGATCAGGACCGACACGCAGTTCCCGATGATCTGCGGAGGCAGAAGCACACGGGCAGTTAAACACTCATGACCATTCCACTAACTCCGGCTACCTAGTGCTTGTTCTTGGTCAACTGCTCCAGGACACTGAACATCTTAAAGAATAATCAACTTTTCCTACAAGTATTTTAAAGTTATCTGTGATATTGCAGCAGTTGACACAAATATAAAGTTAGAGAACACTAAAATTACTTTGCGTGCATTTTGTGGCTAACAATGTCAAAAAGTTCTGCCTGTTGAGTAAAACAGATACATTCAGTATTTCTGCTGTATTTTAAGCCAAATTGCAGCTCAAGTTCACTTATATAATAGCTACTTTGTGCTTACCTACTAAGACAATTTTAAAAACATCAAATTCCACACCTAAACTCTAGAAATCCACACTTGTTCTTTCATATTAAATAAGAGCAGCTGAAAATACTGATCAATACTGCCATCACTTAAACTAAACAATGGATACCACAACCTCTTACTCACTTTAAATAAATCACATTATTACATATGTATGAGCATAAATGGATAGATAGATAGATAGATAGATAGATAGATAGATAGATAGATAGATAGATAGATAGATGAGTGTATGTAACCAACTGCTCTCCTTTAGCTAGGCTTAAAAATATAGAGCACATAATGAAGAGAAAACGAGCTAGTAGCTCTTACCAGCCTCTTCTCTATCAGACTGTGGGAATATTTTACCAAGATTCAGTCATTATATAAAATAACAGCCTCTATTATTCTGAAGCCAATGACATTGTAGAAAGTCAAATTAGCCTCAGACTACAAAATGTTTCTGAATAGGACTCTTCCGTCTTACTTTAATTATTCAAATTTAAAATACTTTGTCTCTACTAGTGGTAGCAACCAAGTTCTTCAGATTTCAAAGCCATCTGAAGCACAGTCAGCACAATCGGAGTTACTCATTAGCAGTGGGCTTTCTCCAGCTGAGAAGAGGCCTTTCAGGAGTCTTCCACAGCTACTTAGTGAGCTCTGTAGTTCTGTGCATTTACAAGTGAATGGATGCTGTCCAAATTAAACAGAGCACATCCTTTCCCACTGATTCCAGTTTGTGTTTACGCAACTTAGGAATACCTGTCCTTGCAGATGAGCCACACAGCGTGACAACGAACGAAACACGACATTCGCCGTAGAGGCCGAGGGACGGCCAGGGACGGCCAGGGCCCGAGGCTTGACCTCACCTTTGTCATAGCTGTGTCATCCTTCTTGGGCGTAAAGTCTTCAAAAAATCGGAGGCTATAGAAACCAACAACAGAAGACACCAGGAGATAGCTGCAAGAATCAAGGAAAACGCCGGAGAAAGGCGCAGGCCTCCCAAGGCCTCAGAGCCTCTCCAAGTCTTCAGGCCACAGGAAAAACAAAACCAAACCAGAGGCGGCTCTGAGTGCTTCATGAGGACTGACTTGCTTTTCCTCCTAGACAAGTGTCTTGGTACATTAGCACCGTCCCAGAAGCCAGGCAGAGAGCTTGCTAACAGACAGAACGTTCATGTAAGGCAAGGATACAAAATCAAAATGATTTCAAGTGCGGCTCCCACAAAACCAAAAGTGGAGAGAGAGGCATTTCCTATTCCAGGACCCTGCAGGGGAAAAGGACACTTCTCAGAATCCAGTGACACCATTGTTTGTTTTCCTAAAGTTGCTGTTTCATAAACGAGGAATGTGGAACACCTCTCCAAGGCTGAGGAGGCGCGACGCCGGCTGGCCTCCCCAACCAACCCACCCACCACACGCATCAGCAACGCCAGCAAGCCCAAAAGATTCGCTGACCCCAAATGTGATTCTACCTTTCTGGTCAACATCATGGAATTATGCCTATGTTACAAAATATAGACTAATTAGTTACCTGAGAAAAACACTTCAATATTTTTGGGAGATTTTTTTTAAGTAGACAAGTAGAAAAGGAACAGAATAGATGGCTGTCTGAAAGTTAAGAACATGCAAAAAATGACAAACAATGCTAAATGTGAGCCGTGCTTAGAAACACAGTAACTGCGTATCCCCTTCCCTTTTCCCTATTCTTTCTCAGAACTCACAAAAGAAGGAACTACTAACACACTTTTAAAAAGTAAAAGCATAAACTTTTCCTACACATACCAATCTCAAAAGCTATCTTTACCTAACTTTTTAAAAAGAAAACACAAAAGGTATTATTTATCAAATAAGAACAGGCAAAATATTCTCAACTAAAGTTGAAACAACAGGGCTGGGAAGGTGGCTCAGAGGTAGAGCGCTTGCCTTGCATGCCTGAGGCCCTGGGTTCAATTCCTCAGCACCACATAAGCAGAAAAAAAAAAAAAGCCAGAAGTGTGCTGTGGCTCAAGTGGTAGAGCGCTAGCCTTGAGCTGAAGAGCTGAGGGACAGCGCCCAGGCCCAGAGTTCAGGCCCCACAACC